ACCTGGATCTCCTGCAAAAGCAGCAGGTGCTTTTAACTGCCTAGCCATCCCTCCTGCTTCTCCCCCTCAACTCCTTGTTTTTTTGTGTTTTTGAAGACAGGGTCTCATTATGTAGCCCAGGCTATCCTCAAACTCGCTGTCTAGACCACAATGACTTCTGACTTGTGATCTTCCTGACTCAGCCTCCCAAGTGCTGAGATCACAGACATGGGCCACCATGCCTGGCTCAGGGTGCCCGTCCCTCATGTCTTCTCAAGTATCTGTTCTCATGTGATTTTTCTCATCGTCCCATGCAAACATCAGACTGCCTTGCCCTGAGCTCACCTGGGTTGTCAAGTGTCCTGGCTTGCCTTGCCCAACCCCACCAACCTGCTCAGCCCCACAGCCAGCCTCCCTGTAGCTCTGTCTGTATGCACAGTTTGACCTCCATTGGCTCCCACCCATCTGCCTGCCCCTAGAGGCTGGTGTTCCTCCAGGCACTGTCCTTCATGTGGTCACCTCATCCCTTCCTCTCTCTAGAGACTGTTCTACTACCTCCTCATCTCACTAGACTTCCACAATCAAGACTGTCTTCTAGAGAGGGACTGGATCCATGACTTAAGCAGCCGGTGAATATTCCACCAAGTGTGGATTAAGTACGTGGACTCTCAGGGAGGTGTTGGTGCACACCTTTAATCCCAGCACTCGGGAGGCAGAGGCAGGCAGAACTCTGTGAGTTCGAGGCCAGCCTGGTCTACAGAGCAAGATCCAGGACAGCCAGGCATACACAGAGAAATACTGCTTTGAAAAGAAAAGGAAAAAAAAAAAAAACAGTATGTGGACTCTGGAGCCCAAATGCCTGGTTCAAATCCTGTGTGGGTTTGCATGAGATACTTACTTAGGTGGTGGTGAATGACTATAATCTTGAGATTATACCTGAGAATCTGAAGCAAGTGGGTCATTTGTTCAAGGGTAGCCTCAGCTACTTAGTGAGCTCCAGGCTAGACTAAGCTTATAGGTTGAGGACCTGTCTAAAAATAAAAGGCAAAGTAAAAGGAGTCTGGTGAGGTGACTCGGTTAAGCGCATGCCATGCAAGTGTGGAGACCTGAGTTCGGGCCCCTCGTGTCCATGGATCCAGGTACAGCTGGGCGCAGCAGCTTACGTCTGTAAGCCAAGTGCTAGGGAGGTAGAGACAGGCTGGATCTCCAGAGTTCTGGGTTCAGTGAGAGACCCTGACTCAGGAAACAATGTGGGGAGTAGAGGAAGATAGTGTCAGCCTAGTCTCCACATACACACACAGACACACACACACACAGATACACAGACACACACAGACACACATATACACACAGGGACACACATACACACAGATACACAGACACACACACACAGATACACAGACACACACACAGACACACAGACACACACAGGGACACACATACACATACACACAGATACACATACACACAGATACACATACACATACACACAGACACATACACACACACACAGATACACATACACACACAGATACACATACACACACAGACACACAGACACACAGACACACACACACACATACACACACAGCCACATACAGACTACAGACACACACACAGATACACACACAGACACAGACACACACAGGGACACACATACACATACACACGGATACACAGACACACACACAGACACACATACACACAGACACACACAGACACATACAGTCACACACACAGACACATACACACAAACACACAGACAGACACACACACACACTGTATACACATACACCACACACAAACCAAAAACCAAAAACCATAAATGTATTTAAGTTGGCTGAAGCCTAGTTTCTTTATCCATTAAACAAAATAGTAAATACTGTGCATGGCGAAACCTTGATAACGTTAACTAAAGCAGAACTCACGATTTGGTGCCTGACCTGTTTACTCTCCTGGGACCATCCTATATAAACTGTCTTGAAATTGTTCTAGATTCTTCCATCTCCTTCCCCTTCACCTAGTAGGTTACCAAGTACCAAAGCCTCTGAAATCTGTTGCTGGTCCCACATCCCTAACCTCCTTTCTTACTGTCCTTGGTTCCTGTCCTCACCGTATGCCTGAGAGAACAAAACACAGCACTACTCCACGTTTCTGCTAGACCGGGGACCAAAACCTAAGTGCCTGAGCCTTACATCCTCCTGTTCCCTTCCTCATCCCTCCACACTTCCTGCCACACACCACCGGAGCCCTCCCTGCCTTTGTTCACGGGGAACCTTCTCCCCAGCTAGCCTCTCTCCATCCCCCGCATCCAGGTCTGCTCAGTCACCAAGCCCCACAGGGCCAGAGGCAACTCCATCAGGCGGCCCTCCTGTTTCTCCAGCCTTCCGTGGCTGCTCTGGGCCCAAGCCATAGACTCATGGGTTAGCAAGATCAGGCCATTGAAGGGAAGGAGCAGGACCTGATCTCTAGATCCCCAGGGCCACCTGCCACTCCCTCGCAGGTCCCATGCTTCATGGGGTAGAACTCTGAGTCAACAGCCATGACTGGACTGGTGGAGGGGTTCAGAAGGATGAGTTTGAAGGGGATCCCCCATGAGGATCGTAATCCAGGGAGGGTGCACTTGTCCCAAACTCCATAGAAGAGCCTACAAGGAAGAAAGTGGATCCTGGACCAGATAGTGGGATGTGCCGAGTCACACGGAGACAGAGGAGCTGGGGAGCCCGGAGAGCCTAGACGGGAGCGGGGGTGGGGGAAGGAGGCCGGAGGAGGAGATGGATAGCATGACTGGAAGGAGGGGGGCGCAGGTCAAGGTGCAGGAAGAGGTGGGAGGGGCCGCAGGGTGGGGGAGCGTGCACTTTCTGGGAAGTGGGAGGGATGGAGGAGGTCCGTGCTGTGCATTGTGGAGGGAGGAATTGGCCTGCCGGTCAGCGTGAGCTCATTTCCTCTTACCGCCTCCTGTAGGGTCTGAGGGCATCTGGCTCTGGAAAAAGTGAGCCAGGGGCACCCCAGGGGCCACCACCCTCCTCCCTGCCCCCACAGCCTCGGCTCAAATCTGCTCTCCTTACAGAGACAACCCTTTGTTCTGGGAGGAAAGGACCCTTGTGCCAGGGGGCCAATATGCCTTGCTACAACCGGAGGGAGCTCCAGGCAGAAGGGGCAGGAACTGGGACTCTGTTGAAAGTGAGAAGATCCAGGCATTGTGACAGATGACAGTTAGGTGGTGGGAGGGACTTGTTAGGAGGAGGGGGTAATTCTGGCTTCTGACCTTGATGGGGTGAAAGAAGTTAGAGAGGTCATTATAAGAGAATCTCTTTAAGTGCCGGGGACTTAAAGCACACAGTGCGGGTCTATCCGTGGCCTTCCGGCTCTCAGGAGGAGGGGCGGCCTGACTGATGTCCCCCTTCCCACAGCCTGCGTTCTGGAGCCTGAACAAGTAGCAAGGGGTGGGCTTGGCGACGTGGGTCTGTGGTGGTGGTGTTGGTAAAGCCAGCGTCCTTATGAGGTCTCCGGGTTCAGGGAGTGGTGTCTTTGGGGGACACTTATTCTTTATGCTTTGCCTGCCTTCCCTGAAATCAACTACTATTTCGTGGGGATATCGGCTTTCCCCCTACCTCATAATCTGAAGAAAGGAATACAGAAGCCTTTAAAATTGCAAGAAGGAGCCAGGTGTGGTGGCTCCTGGGAACTGAGGCAGGGACAAGGTTCAGTGACACTCTGCAGCACTCTGGCTCAAAACCATCAAGTCACACCAAAGAAAACCCGAAACGGGGCAGGCGGCAGGCATAGTGCCATATCCTTTTAATCCCAGCACTCGAGAGGCAGAGGCGGGTGGATCTCTGTGAGTTGGAGGTCAGCCTGGTCTACATAGTGAGTTCCAGGCCTGCCAAGTCTACATATTTTATAAAAGAAGGAAGAGAGTCGGGTGGTGGTGGCGCACGCCTTTAATCCCAGCACTCGGGAGGCAGAGCCAGGCGAATCTCTGTGAGTTCGAGGCCAGCCTGGGCTACCAAGTGAGCTCCAGGAAAGGCGCAATGCTATGCAGAGAAACCCTGTCTCGAAAAACCAAAAAAAAAAAAAAAAAGAGAGAAGGAAGAGAAAGACCCGCTCCCCAAACAAAAAATCCTGTAAGAAGGCTCAGGAAGAGGTCAGAGGTCAGCATAGGCTGGAGGAAGAGGAAGGATGAGGGTTAGGTAGCAAAAAGAACTTTCCAGGTCAGTGGAGGACTGAGGCACTGGTTCTCACTGGATCATGTGGGGGCCCTGTGAGCGGGGGGAACAGGGTGGGGTTCTGTTGGAGCACTGGGAAATGAGTGGCTGGCTCAGGCCAGGAGTGTCTCTTTAGGCCTAACTCCCAGTGGAGCAGGGTAGCTGGGGGTGGGGGTGGGCGCGTCTCTTTGTAGGGCCCTTGCAGAGCAGATCTTCTCAGGACCAGAGGTCTGAGGCTCTGCACTCACGTCCCACAAAGCCTGGGACGTCTGTCAGAACTCCCTCCCAGCCCCGACTCTGCTACCATCGTGGCATCCTGTCTAAGAATCTTCCTGGGAGGAGGTTTTCCAGATGGACGGGGGTCATACCTCACACCACATCCGTTGTGCCTCAACTTCCATGAGTCCCTAGAGTCTCCGCCCCAAGCCTGTCGGAGGTGAGGTGGCTTCATCGTGTCTCGGCCACTCACAGGCTTTCTGGACCTCTGGGGTCCGTTCCGACCCTCTCTAGCGTCCTTTCCTGGTGCTATCACTGGGTTCGGTGCCCTCATCCTCTTTCCACGCTCACCATGGAAAGAGCAGGGCCCCTGCAGCCCTCTCTCCAGAGGCTTCCCTGAGACCTCGTCTCTGGGCCAGGTTCGTTTCTGGCCCCTGGCTTCACGGTCCGCGTAGATCCCAGTCTTGGTTCCCTTTACTTTTCTGCGTAGCGTGTGGAAAGGCCCTGGCCGGGGCCGGGTCTGGAGCGTGGCTTGTGGGGCGGGGTGGGAGTAGGTAGGAGGAGCCGCACAGACCACGCCCCTCCGCGGCCCCGCCCCTCTGTCCCCGGCCCTCCGCCCCCTGGGCCCCGGCCCGTGCCCCCAACAGTGCCCTGGCCGCAGAGCCTCCGCTGCGGCCCGATGAATGGAGTCGCCTTCTGCCTGGTCGGGATCCCGCCGCGTCCGGAGCCCCGGCCCCCCCAGGTGAGGGCTCGTGGCTCGGGCCAGGCTGGGGCGGGACCAGGGGCAATGTCCGGGCTGGGGTCACTGCGCCCCCGTCGGTGGGCACCGCTGCGGGAACTTGGTGTCCCGTTGGGGAGTGGCAGGAGGGACAGCTGCGCTAGGCAGAGGCTGGCGGGGGCCGCCGCGCGGGGCTCCCCCGATGGGCCCGGGGCTACCGGGCCCGGGGCCACCCAGGCGGTGGTGGTGCCAGGCCCTGGGCGGCCGGGCAGCAGGGGTGGGAGGCCCGCGCCTTTTGTCCGGGATTTTCAGGCGGGGCGCCCGCCGCCGTTTCCTCTGCCCGAGTTTTCGTTTTCCGTTGGCGAGGCCCCCGCACAGCTGGAGCCACAGGGAGTGGGGGAGGGGTCCTGGGGCGGGACGTCCTCGGCTCGCCCCCTCCGGGTGGGACTGCGCTGTGGGCTGCGGGGGCTCGGGACTGGGACCCCAAGCCCTGCCCGGCCCTCCTCCCCTCTGCCCGCTCCGGCTGTGGGTGGGTCCGGGAGTGGGGTGCCAGGGGCATTACTCAGCGCTGGGCTGCTCTGCTTGGGTTCTTTCATCTACCAGCTGCTGAGGCTGGGGAGGGGCCCTCACCTTCCCAACAGGGTCAGTCCCCTGCCTTGGAGTCTGGCTGCTGGTCCCGCTCAGTCACCCCCCAGCCCACAGTGGCAGTACAAGCTGAAGCTGTACACTGTCTGGCCAGTAGTTTTCCTGGATTTGGAAAGGACGTTCCCTGGGATCCAGTTTGAGGGTCGAGGCCAGAACTGAGCTTCTCCTTTTGACACTCCAGCGGGCTCCTGTCCTGGGGTGTTGGGCCCGCGGGCATGTACTTCGCAAACTCTTTAGGAGACTCTGGTGTCTGAACTGCATGTATTAAAGTTCTCCCTCAGTCGGCTTCTCTACCCCTCCCTACAGCCAAAGTGTTTTTCCTAATTATAAACTTGAAATTCAGGATGGACAGGGGGCGGGAGGGGAGGTCATTAGGCTGGAGTCCTTCGGATGGAGTCTCCCTCCACAAATAGCGCGTACTTCATCCCTGACCCCTTACTGTCTCCACCCCTACCCCCCTGTGGGCTACTGGTGGGTGGCCTTTGATTCCATGTGGTTCTCCCCTCTGCCAGGGCAACAGCCCTGTTTTCCAAAGTGGCCAACGCTGACGGCAGGAGATTTGAATCTCCATTGCAGAACCAATCATTTGGCCTGCAAACTTGGCCCAAAGGCCCCCAGCCCTGGTGGCTTTTTCCCATTGCCCACGTGTGGTTCGATCCACCCCCGGATGGCTGGGAACCCCAAGGCCCTGTGTCCTAGGCCCTTACCTTCTCCTTTCACATGATGAGAACAGTGGATCCCTCAGAGCCCTCATGAGTGTGTAGGAAAGTGTTAGTGCCTATTTTATAGTTTGTTTTTTTCCAGACAGGGTTTCCCTCTGTAGCCCTGACTGGCCTGAAACTCAGATTCAACCACCTGCCTCCACCTCCGTGATTAGAGGTGTGAGGCATCATGCCTGGCAATGTTAGTGCCTATTTTACAGATAGGGTCTGACCTAAAGGTTTGGTGGTATTGTTGGGTTGGAACCTGAGTTCTGGTGGGTACAAAATAAAGTCTGGGGATGGATGGGTTATTAGGAAGAAAGCTTGTATACTGCTGGGGTGGGGCAGGTTGTGTGGTTCCCAGCTGGAGATGAAGGAGCTGGACCTGGGGAACAACCCTTTTGTGTGGGTAGTGTGGATGAGGCTTTCTGTGTCTTCTCTCAGGGCAACCCTGAACTCATGAGGAAAGGATGCAGTGATGCTGGCATGGCTGGGGGTGGGAGTGAGGGAGGGTGTGGTATTACAGAGCAGGGCAGTGTGGGGGTGGGCAGTGGGTTACCTCATGCCTCATTGCAAGGATACTTTGAAACCTCTCTTCTTGTGTAGAGTTAAAAGGCAGACTACAGCCGGTTCGGTTCGGTGCAGGCCTTTAATCCCAGCAGAGGCAGAGGCAGGCGGTTCAAGACCAGCCTGGTCTATGTAGGGAGTTCCAGGACAGCCAGGGCTACATAAAGAGACCCTGTCTATAATAATAATAATGATAGGTGGAGGTGGCGCATACCTTTAATCCCAGCACTCAGGAGGCAGAAGCAGGTGGATCTCTGTGAGTTCGAGGCTACAGAGTAGATGACTGGACTAAGTGTTGAGGTGAGAGACTGGGGCTGGCTATTCAGAAGAACTTCCAGGGCCAGGTTCGTGAGCTACAGCACCCTAGAGCAGCCTGGAGATGGTACAGGGATATATCCTCCAGTAGGTGGATTCCTGTGATGCTGGATTCCAATGCAGATGTCTAGAAAGATCCAGAGAACATGCAAATATATTCACACGAGCAAATACGTTAATGCTAGAGGTTTTTTTTTTGTTTTTTTTTTTTGTTTTTTGTTTTTTGTTTTTTTTTTTTTTTTGAGCCAGAGTTCTCTTGCTATGTAGCCCAGGCTGACTGTCTGTCTCAGCCTCCTCAGTGATAGCTGTGTTTTGGGTCAGGGTTCGAATAGCTTGTTCTTTTAATTGTCACAGTGTCACCTCGAGGTTGGTACTGTTTGTCATTGTCCCATCATACAGTTGAGGGTACCGAGGCACAGTGAGCTAATAGTGTGACCAAAGCTGCGATGTTCATAAAGAACAGAGTCAGGGGCTGGAGAGATGGCTCAGAGGTTAAGAAAACTGGCTGCTCTTCCAGAGGTCCTGAGTTCAATTCCCAGCAACCACATGGTGGCTCACAGCCATCTGTAATGAGATCTGGTGCCCTCTTCTTGCAGGCATCCATGTAAGCAGAACACTGTATACATAATAAATAAATAAATAAATAAATAAATAAATAAATAAATAAATAAATAAATAAATAAATCGAGAGAGAGAGAGAGAGAGAGAGAGAGAGAGAGAGAGAGAGAGAGAGAGAGAGAGAGAACAGAGTCAGGGAGGAACCCCCCCCCCCCCCCCCCCGGTTCTAGCGTCACGGCTGGCCCTCACTGCCCAGCCCCCAGCTCTGTGCCCACTTCGTAGAGCCTACATCGAATCCTCCTCCTGCCGGATTGGAGCTTGCTTGCTTTTCTTGGTTGGTCATCAGGATGGCACAGCCTCAGGTGTCCCTCAGTGTTTGTGGGAGGGGCATCCATTCCTCGGTCTTCAGCCTCCCTCCCCACCTCCCCAGGCTCGCCCCAAGCGCTCCAGGCCTGTGGCAGGCCGTCCATTGGCATTCTCCTGGTGGCGCATCCGCCCTACTCTGCTGGCTGCAGGGGTTCAAAGGTGAGGTATTGGCTTGGTCAGGGATTTAGACAAAGCCTGGTCTTAATTATCCTGGTCTGCCACCCGGACTCTGTCATGAATAGGGCCTGTGGGAGCTGGCACTGCCTCTCCCTACGCTCACCCCCCCCCCTTCAAACAACCCGCCTTCAGATCTAGGCCCACATGAAATTGTGCCAGTGTGTCAGCAGGGCAGTGTCAGGCAGTACCGGGAGAGTCTTCTCCACCATCTCAGGGAGACATCAGGCCCAGATGGCCTTGGCTTTGGACATGGGTAGAGTTAGAGCCCTTGGGAGGGGGGTGTTATTCATTACCTGTCAGAGTGGTCAAAACCAAAGGGCCCATCTCGTTTAACTTCTCATGCTAAAGGATGCCAGACTGTGTCATGCCCCTCAGACTGGGAGCAGCCGATGAGTACTTAGGTCCTCTGAGCCCCAGGCTCCCGGGGGTGCTGTCCGTGGCACTGTGTCCCTCCCCCCCACACCAGTGCTAGCCTCTGGGACTGAGTCCTGGGGGTGTGGCAGGGATGAGTGGACAATGTGTCTTGTTCATCTGTGTCCCCAGTGCCCAGCACAGTGCCTGGCACAGAGCAGCCCTCCATAAATGTTTGTAGAGTGCAAGCCAGAAGCCTCCCCCACTGGTCTCCCAGGGTGACCTGGGCTTGGCTCTTTCCCTGGCATTGGGATGGGAGACCTGTCAGTCTAGAGTTACTCAAAGGCAAGAAAACAATCTAGAATCTCTCCATGGGCCTTAATGCTGGGCAGGTGTGTTATTGCCATCCCAGCTGATACAAAGAGATTCCATGACTTCCCACGGTCGGTCACACGAGTGAGTGACAGAGCTAAGGAACTGACCATGCTCTTAACCTCATTCCAATGGCCTAAAGGTGTCCTGTTTGTTACCACACAATCTGGCACCTAGCCAGAGCCCAGAGACTATTTGTTGACTGGCTGACTGACTAACTGGATTCATGAATGGTGAGACAATGTGTGACAAACCCACAGAACCCTGTAACCCAGCGTCCACGTAGGTGGGGTTAGGGTCTCAGGAAGACAGCCTGGGGGTATGGCTGTCTTGTCTGCACCCCAGCCAAACCTAGAGAGGAAGGGAAAAGTCTCTGGTGGCTTCTGTCACCACTTGCCCTCCAAGGCTACCTGGTGCCACTGCCACCAAAGCTCCTGGATTCTCTTGCTTTTCCTTGGCTCTTCATTTCTCGGAGTTCTGAGGGGAAGGTGCTGGGAAACAGGCAAGGGAGGTTTCGAAGGCCTGTGTTCCATCCCAGCCCCGAGGTGTTCAGCTCAGGCTGTGGGAAGTTCTGTTCTTGTCAAGTTGGAGGTGGTCTGAGTGTGTCTAGGACAAGGCCTGTCTTAGACCTTAACTGTTTTTTTTTTTTGTTTTTTTTTTTTTCATTTTCAGTGCTCAGTCAGGATTGATATCAGGGTACACTGCCTACATGCTCTATGTCCAGTCCATTACCATCAATTTTTATTCTCCTGCCTCTGCCTCACCAATGCGGGGATTAAAGGCAGGTACCACCACACCTGATTTGGAACTGAGATTTGAATCTGGAGTCTTGTGCATTTAAGACGAGTGCTCTCTCATTATCTACATGCCTAGGCCCCATTTTTGCATTAATTTAATCTAATTAATTTCTTTATTTTTGGTTTCTTGAGACAGAGTTTCTCTGTGTACACAGCCCTGGCTGTCCTGGAACTC